AAATTTTATTTCTGAGAACAAAGACCTGCAGGGGCGAGTTACGGTAAATCCCAACCCGCCGCAGTCTCCAAAGGGAAAAGCTCCGGCCTGCAGAGAAACTGCCCCCACGCGGGCTGCAACTGTGTGTCTGATTCCTGGCTCCGTCCCAGGGTGCTTGCGAGACCCCGGGGGGGGAGGTCCCACCTCGCTCGGACCAGCTTAAATTTTATTTCTGAGAACAAAGACCTGCAGGGGCGAGTTACGGTAAATCCCAACCCGCCGCAGTCTCCAAAGGGAAAAGCTCCGGCCTGCAGAGAAACTGCCCCCACGCGGGCTGCAACTGTGTGTCTGATTCCTGGCTCCGTCCCAGGGTGCTTGCGAGACCCCGGGGGGGGAGGTCCCACCTCGCTCGGACCAGCTTCCGTGGGGACCGAGACAAGCAAAGCCCCGTAGCTGGAAGGCCAGCAGACCGTGGCCCGATCAAAGATATTACCCCCCCCCCAGCTCCTGCAGCTGCGGTTCGTTAATGTGTAGCAGCAGCAACCTCTAGTGGCTCCATCACGCCTCCTTCCCCTTGGTGGCTATTCCCAGCCTCTCTCCGGCCCCGGTCCGTGCTGAGCGCGCCGCGTTCGCTCCACCCTGTCGACCGTAACCTGTTTGATTGACACGCAGGCTTTTCGAGTATCGAGGCCGGGTCTCGCCGGTCCCCAGGGTGGTGCCGGTGAAGCGTCCCCGGGTGACCATCCCCTTAGTCCGCCGCGTAAAAGCAACGCTTCCCGTCAAACTTTTCACCAGATCGGCCGCCATTGCAAACAGCTCCGCCAGATTAAAGTGTGAGTACCTGCGAATGCAAGCAGATCAGACATACGGCATAGGGAGCAAACACCCCGCTGGCTCACCTCTACCGCATCACTGAGTGCCCCAGAACAGCCACGCATGACGACAAACCACTGCCTGTCTGAGAAACTGTTTCCCAAGCACTGATCAATTAACCCTCGCATCCCCCATTTGTTAATAATAACCGACGGGGAAACTGAGGCACGGAGCTGGGAAGTGACGGGACAAGATGGAGCTGGGAATAGAACCTGGATGTCCTGCCTCTCAGTTCCATGTGCTGACCATTAGCTCATGCTTCTTCCTGAATGACACTGATTACCGTATGTATTCGGCCATAAGCCCCTTCTTTCATAAGCCGACCCCTGCCCAACTTACAGAATTTTTTTTAAAAAAAAGTCAATGACCCGTTTCTAAGCTGACTTGTGCCAGGTCCAGCAATACCCCTGCTGCAGCTCTGCGTGAAATGTGATTTAGGAGCTGGTGGGCAGGCAGCCCAGCTCAGTCCTGGCTGGTTCTGGGTCCCAGGAGCTACTAGCCCCACCCCCACAGCTCTGCAATAAAAGGAATATGTGGGTAATGACACCACCTACTTTGTAAGGTGCTAGGAGAGCTTCTAATTTGCACTGGGCTATGTTGCATGCCCCTTCCTTCACACCCATAGAGTCCGTCTCTCCCCACCTTTCAGCCCACACTCATTGGCAACATATACTGTGAAGCCGTCTAAAGAAGTAATGCTCAATTTCTTTTCCAAATGAACCAAGGAAAAATATTCAGGGATGTGCTGACTTGACTCTTTTGCATCTTGTTTCACTTCTCTTGCCGCCGTTCAGCAGCTGATAAGAGGCAAATCAAGAGAAGCCAGCGAGGTTCTGTGTTTTACAAAGGGTAAAAGTCAGCGGCTCCCATTGCCAGCAGTGGGGTCAGGTTTTCACCCCAAAAATTGCTTTGCTATACTTGTGTATCGATTACACTTTCTCCTAAGGCATGCACATAGAATCCTACAGCTGCATATCAATGATCTCTCTACTGTTTCCATTGGTGTGCGGAATGCATTTTCCATGTGTACCAAGACGTACGGATGTACACCACCAATGGAAACACATGCAGCTGGCTGCAGGTGATCTACTAATCAGCTGGGCAGCCCTGGAATCTTTCCTGGATGGCCCCCCTAGCGCACAGCTTACAGGTAACACTGCTGAGTCCTGCCGGAGACTCCAGCCAAAGGCTGCTCCTTGCTCACCATTTCCATGTTTGTACTGCTCGCCCAGGACTGCGCATGACTCTATCCCAGACCACCCAGAGCCGTGTCTGCCTCCCGCCCAAGGAGTGGAGAGAGTTGACTTCACGCCCAAAGTCCAGGCTCCATGTAAAACTAGCTCTTTATAGGCCAGCTCCCCTTTGGTTGCTGTGAAGTCCCGGCCTGGAATTTGGGCTGGGGGAGGATTGTCCCCAAGGTGTGACGTGTCCTGCATATCAACGGCTCCATGCAAATCAGGACCACTGACTTCTGAGCTGTCACTGGCTCCGATGGCATGGGCAGCGTCATTCCCTGCTGCTCTGGGGGGAAGCACGGCCCCTCCCTTTCGAGAAAATGGCCTATAGTCCAAGAAGCTACGGTAAACGTACGCTGAAATAACCATGTGCCTGGGGACAGTGGGTAAGGCCAAGATACAACGATTGCCCCTGCCAGTTGGGAATAGCACAGGTTTGGGTGACGGCTAGGACTTTAACAGGGTTCAAAAAAGCACTAGATAGCCATTGATGGACCTAACCTCCGGGAATCTGTGAGCCAAGATGGGTAGAGATAGTGTCCCTAGCTTTAGGGTGTCTGGAAGTGGGTGACGGGGAGGGATCACGTGAGGATTCCCTGTTGTGTTCCCTCCCTCTGAGGCACCTGCCATTGGCCACTGTGGGCAGACAGGACACTGGGCTAGTCGGACCTTTGGTCTGAGCCAGCTTGGCTGTTATGCTCTGCTACAAATAGCTAAGGTACAAAACGTGACTGTTCCAGAGCCACCCACCTGTGAGGCCTGGCCCGTCCCTGCCTTGAGGGGACTGGCAGCGAGTGGGTCCCATCGTAGTCAGCCCAAGCCTTCTCGCTGGCCACCAAAGTGGAAGGGTGAAGATGCAGGCTGGAGTTCCAAATGCTCTGACTGCTTCTGCCACACCCCCAGAATGGCCAGCAGTGCGTTTGTGCGAGCCACGTGGGAGCACGCGCCTCTCTCCCCTCGTGGCACGCAGCTGCCCAGGCCAGTGCAGGTCCTGCGGGTAAGGATCCAACCTCCAGAGCCAGCTGGGACTTGGTCCTGGAATGCGGACTTGCAGGATTGCGCTGAGAACATCGCAGGCTCCTGTGAGCTCTGGGGGGGCAGCCGCAGCCCAGCTCCCCGCTGCTGCTGGCCCAAGCAGCAGATGCTCTGCATAGGACTGGGGGGCTGCTCAGAGAACAGACAGCGAGTGGCTGGGGCGTGTAACATGCAGCGTGTGAGGAGCTCTGCTAGCTGGGGACTGTTGGAGCCCTGCAGAAGGAATTCCCAGCCCAGACTGGCTTCGTCCCAGTTCCACTCAGGCTGCAGCCTAACATCCTGCCTCCCCCAGCGGCTGGGACCACTCACCCAAGGGCACAGGCAGTCACAGTCCCTGACTCTCCACCTGTCTCAGCCGTGGCCCAGAACGGTTTCCGTGGTGACACTCCAGATTATCCCCCATTGCCGTCCCCCCATCTCGGGAGGGGTTTCATGGTGTTGCCG